TGCCAAACATCCATCTCTAGCCAAAGCACATCGCAATTTGGCCATGAGATACATTGCTCTCGATCGACTTGATGAAGTCATCCATCATGCTCAAGACGCTGTCTCCATTGCCAAACAATGTTTCAAGCTGGACAGTTTAGAACGAAAATCCTACCAAGGAACACTGAACAAACTATTAGTTTTGGAGAAGAAACCTTTCATAATACTTGATGAACGCTAAAACAGATTTCTGATGAATGATTGTAAAGGCTTTTTCCACTGTGTCGTGAGAAAAACTCGGCCACTTTTCTTCGACTATGCCACGGCGTAGAAAAATATGCGGGTCGTCTCCTCAACTACATACTTGGTTACTATAATAATAGAAGAAAGCATAATCTGAGACTATTTTTTTAAATAAATCTTACATGATAATGTGACATAATTCTAAGATTAAATTGATGCATTCAATATCTTCAGAATTACGATTGAGAATATTTTTATATGTCATCACGGATATGTTAAATTGTATCAATGTTTATTTTCTCAGTATAGATATTTATTAATATTGAAATGTGCTGTATTTTGTAGAATAATTCCAACATTTCTAATGTTCTATCGAATCTTTTCTGATGCACGATAAATTTCTTCTCATATTTTATTTTAACATACAAAAAACAGTTATTTAATATGGAAAACTCTGAATAACAAATATCATAGCAACTTTCATCTGGAGCATTCTGTGATGATTATATTGTCTATAGAATAATTGATATTTTTTTTTTGATTTTCTGCTTCTTCAATATCACCTGAAAACAAAGGCAAATGCGATGAAAATGATTTTTTTATCCAAGTCATGGAATGATGTTGATAAATATGTTCATTTTAATGCAAATTTTGTTATTTTCTTCAGTTCCTATTATGACACAATTATAAAGCAATACCTTTAGTTCATTCAGTACAACAATAATCGAAAAAAGAAAGCAATTAACATTAATTTTAAAAAAAGCCGAAATAGTCTTTTTTAAAGTACACAATATTCCAATAAACAAATATTTGTTCATGTCATCAACATGATACAACAATGAGCATGACAAAAAAGCTCATTCCATCATGACCAACAAAAAAAATGAAAAATATTGGTTAATATTCAATATCAGTAAGGCAAAAACTTTTATTTTTCTTATATTCAATAAAAAAAAACCTTTTACATTGCCCTAACTATTTCTCATTATACATTGTCAAGTCATTGGTTGATTTTCATTGAATATTCGTGCCATAATATTTATATATCACAAACCATAAATATCTAATTGAGAAATAAAATTAGAAAATTAAATGAAGAGTTGCATCTCTCTATATGTAGGATTTCAAATTAGTTGATCACTAAATATATTCATTCTAATGAATATAACACAAAGTTTAGCCTGATGTGATCTTGGTCACATTCAATTCAGCTATGGTGTTTTTACCTTGAACGATTATGTAAACCAAATACAATTCTATCCTTCAGTTCTTTTCACATTAAATACAAGTATTTAAAGATTTTTGCACCATTATTCTATAGGTGATGAAGATATTTATGGAATTCCATACAGTTTAGTCAAAACAGTAAATCAAGACTGTCTTTAGGGCAGAAATCAAATCATGATATCCAATATTCAACTATCCGATTGGTACATAAGTTCTGCACGTTATTTTTGTGTTTTAAGCAAATTTGAGGCTTTATATCTCGTGATTGGAAAGTGATAGAGATCTGAAATTTTTAGTGTAGATAGAAGACATAGAGATCTACCTACACTAAAAATTCCAGACCTCTATCACTTCCATCTAAATCACGAGATATAAAGCCTTATATTTACCTAAAACACAAAAAAAGTGTAGAACTTATGTACCAATCTAATAATTAAATAGAAATAACTATTTCATAAACTTCATTTTATCTTCAAGAAACAGATCTTCCAAGTTATTGTCTTATTGAATTAAATTCAGTCGATGTGCTGAAAAAAAATGGAAAGAAATAATGTTACCGATGTCATTGCAATTTAACGTTCTATAGACAATCTTGGTGAACGATATAATGACAGGGTTATAATTGTTAGAAAACATTGAAATGTTTTATCATTTACAGTTGCTAAACGAAGTAAATGATACTATCTTTTTTTTTCTTTTTTATTTATGGACTTGTGTTTGATCTCTATTAAAATGTTAGTATGATCCTATATAATAAAGCATGTCCCTCGCCAGTCGCAATTTTCCAAAAGAACTTTTCGCCCATTTTCCACGTCAATATCTTTTTTTGTCAACATTTTTCCTTTTGACCTTTTCACAACCAACAATTCAGTCAATGTATTCGATAATAGAGATACCAAATAGTATTCTATAATTGGTTTGAGAAAACATATTACCCTATTCTCTTTAAAAATGCAGTTTTCGTACAACTATTTCCCTATTAGAATCACATTCAATTGTTGATATTCAATTCTCAAGACTAACAAATTTCATACTTTACTCAATATCAAGAAATATTTGGTGAAAACATATTTTTGCAATTAAACTTGGTTCTTCAGCTGAATCAAATATTAGCATCATGTTATTCATCGAACTATGTGTACAAAAACGCTCATCAGAAGCAATAAAGGTTTCATCTATTTAGTTGATTGAGAATATGCACAGTGAACTGACTAACTACGTAGATGGCATATCGACAAAATCGAAAGTGTGAATTCAGATGTGAAGCTTTTGTTGCTTTCAATTCTATAATTCTAAATAATTTATAAATCTCAACTAAAGTTCGATACAAGAGAATTGGAAATTGGATCAATAGTTATCGATCTTTACTCTCGTAAAGTATGTATTTCTTCTTCTTCCTCTTCTTGTATTTAGAAATGTTCTGTTTCAACTCGTAGGTTGAAAAATGGAAGATCTTCTCGAACAAAGACATCGAAGAGGCTATCACTCCAAGACTACTACAAACACCTATTAGCCCTCTTGTTACACGAATTACCATGGAATTGATTATTCAATTGTCTCTACACATTGTAGTCTAGGTCTAGAATCAGCTATTTATTGCGGTGCGAAGCACAACATTGTCTTTTTAGATGAATCTGTTACACTGTTCATTTTGATAATCTTGATACTGGGAAGAAAAAAGGAAAAGTAGCTGCAAAGCTTTCACACCACTTATTGTGAATGTTGAAAAAATAACGAAGTGCAGAAAAGTTTTCCTTTTTGTATAGCTCCATATAGACACGCTAAAGTTACCTTTAGAGATCAGAAACAGAATAGTGTCGATTCAATCTCGTTACATTCATCTAGTGTTTGAATGAATATTTAAAAACAATCAGAGAAAAAAACTCGTGAAGGACTAAATTATATCCTGAAATAAAAGATCTAGAATATCTACTCTGTCCAGACTATTTCAATTTTCGAGCAAAGCTTTGCAGATATTATTCAATTAGTCTTGATAAGGTGCTATGGGCATATAAAAAGATTTTTCTTCAGACATCAAATACTCATGATCATGAATAATCTGTAGAAGTTACGATCATTATATACTGTAATCACAACTTTGTCTGGAAACCTGTATTTGAACATCATTACAGATTAATAAATTCACATTCATTCTGCTCGCTATATCTTGAACAGTCCCTATTTTCTCTCTTTAAATATCAATTATTAGTAATGTTTTCTCTGCAATATTCTGTTTAAATTTTACAACACTATCAAATTTTAGAATCGAAAAAAATTAGAAAAATCACAAAATTCAATGACTCAAATTACTTCTTGAAAACTAAAGGTGCTGCAATAGATTAAACAGAACATCGTACCGAGAACAGTGTGATCGCAATTGAAAGAGCGAAAAATGCCGTTTAGTTATCAAAACGTATAGTTTCATTGCATAGCTAAATTGCGTTTTTACATAACAAATACCATATTCAATGAAAACCGAAGTCACTCAGAAAACTCAACTGAGATGTATCGAAAAACTTGATTAAATTTTTTGCCGCTGGAGAAAACTTTTTATTCAATAAAAACTAAAATAGCTGTCCTCAAAAAATAACGTTCGCATCTCAGTTTTATTGTAAGTCATTTAGAGAGCTATCGAAATGACAATGTAGATATTTTTAATAAATTTTCTTTAACGGAATAATAAAAAAGAGCTTGTTAAGCTTTTCTCCGCTACTTAATTGTTATACGTTACGGACTCTGTATTTTCTTATAATGTATGTAACTATTTTTAGAATATAAAATGAAAGTGTACAATAAAAAAAATCTATTATTATGGAGAAATATTATTGTCAGGGAATCAACGTAAAAGAGTACATCGCGATAACAAATGTATATAGGTTGTCAATCGTTGTCTGAAACATTGATGTGTTCTTTGTTGTCGGTGAATTCCTAAAATTGATTGTAATCTCGGAGGAATTACACTCTAAACTTTCTTACGTTGAAGAATAGAACGTATTGATGAGAAAAAGTGTTCAACGATATATTTATAACAGTATGAATCCATTCTACTCATTCATGGCAGTTCATTTAATAATAATATTGATTGTTTATTACTTCTCAAATTATTTTAAGATATTACATGCATATCTAGACATGAGTGTTACTTATATTCAGTTGATTGAATATTTACGCTGATTTTTTTCTTGTGCTAAAGTATTTGTGATGAGAATTCTCGTGCTTTTAACACTCTGTTTCCATAGAGACCGAATTTTATTTTCTGCTTGTTCTAAAAGAAAAATGTCTTTGAGCAATAAAGTTCCTGTTAACATCGATAGGTAACTTTTCAGAATCAAATTAATTTTGAAATTTTACAGATCTATTGCCGCACTTTGCTCATGGCATTCATTTATGTGCAAAATATTGTTTTAAAATTGGATTTAAAATTATTAAAAAATTCCTGTTATGAATCTTTTCTTATGTTGTGTTGATCTCAAATTTTGTATTCTTGTTTTCGATATACGTGCCATTTATTGATTGTACAGAGAAAACAGACACAAAAATAAACAATGTTTTTAAATAGCAGTTGCAGCTTTATGTGCATAATTAGCATTAAAAAAGACTCCACGCATTGACAATGTATTGATTTGTTTCGGTGTTGGAAAAATCGTTAATTTATCATAGGTTCCTGGACCAGGTACCTTCGCTAATTTTCTATGAAACCGATCAGTACGACTTCTAAATGACGATGTTATTGTTGGACTATGTACATTGGTCACATTAGTTTTAGGCTCATAATCACCAGGTGCTGGACCGATTTTCTATATTAGAAATTTTTAAAAAAATTAACACTTTTTTTTCAATCTAGCAACGATATGAAAAAATTTACCGGAAGGAATAGTTTTCGTGTAGTTTTCGATTTAAAAACACTATGTCTACAAAGGCCATGATAAAAATTATTTTTTCAATATTATAATATAATGAAACTATTGAACAAACCTGGCCGATTCCACAGGAACATTAATTGTGTTATATTTTTGTGTTTCGTATAGTCCTGGTGGTACATCAATATCCTATGAGAAAAGGTTCAATTAATTATGTATTCTATGTTGTCTATTATACTTTTTTTTATTATAACAGACAACATTAGAAAAGTTGTTTGACATACCTTATCTTGATTCACTGCCATTGTTTTTTTTAAAAGACTTTCTCGTTCAGGACCTTTGAAACCATATGAAAGTCGAAGTTGATTCATTCTACAAGAATATCTCAATATCTTATCAAGAATATTAATCAATTAATACTACACCGTTCTACAAAATCTTCTACTGAATATGCACCAGGTAGTAATTCTTTTCCTTTAGGTTCTAATGGCTGTGGATCACGTCGTCGTCCGTCACTTTTAAATCCATATGTCATTGGACGAGCCACTATTTCTTTGATAAATGTGTTCAAATGTGTATTGTATGTACCAGGAATAGGTGTATCCTATATGTGTATATATGAATATACGAAAAAAATCGAAATATACTTAAAATCCTACCTTGATTGTAGTACGCCACCAACTTTCACGATCGGATACTGGAGGTTCATAGTTGTTTGGTTTCAGATTTCTTGGTGTTATTTTCATATTAACGGCAGCATCGGACCGTAATAAAGGTAGTTTAAGCTCAGCTTCTTGATGTCGTTGTTGTTCTGTCGGTGGCGTTGATGGATTTGATCGTATTTCATAATCAGTTTCGTCGATATGTGAATTCCGACCAGTATTCTCATTCAATGATGGAGACAAAGCAACGTCTTGCATTTTTTACTGCCAATGGCAATCTGGTCAAAACAAATGAACGATCGAAATTTGATTGTATTATTGTCATTCTCCAGGGCCATTTAAATTGTTTCTTTTTCTGACGACACCGATGGTAAAGGTAACAACTAATGTATTTTGTCGTCATTTGTAATCATTACACGCACATACATGCACACATATGAAAAACAAGAAGAAAATAATAAAAAAACGGTAATGAAATTATGTTGCACAGATGAAGAAGAACAAGAAAAAACTAGTCTCAAGAATATAAAAGAAGAAAAAATGTATGAAAAAGGATGATAATCGGCAGATCATCTTGACCAAAATAGCTTATAACAAAATGAAACATATAAAAGAAAAAAATTATCCAAGTCACGTAATACTTGAAATACAATTTGTTGTATCGATCGTAGACAGAAACATAAAAAATGTCAAGTAAGTGACGAAACAAATTGAAATGCATCATTTCTATTATTATAGAATCAATGATGAACAAGCACGCATATTCTATTCTTTCCAATTTTTTTATATACGAATTTCATTAATGAACAATCAGATGAGTCGACAAGCGGAATAGTAGTATTCGACTTTTTGATTGTATAGCCTATTCACGTTCTTAAGTCTTCGGAGAACATATATTCAATTGTCTTGAGTAATGAAATTCTTTCACTATCATACAATCAACAATAATATGCAAAGTAACATGAATATTTAAATAAAAGACAAAATACAATTTGTTAACTGTTATGTGGAATCGTTCATATCAATGTATCTATATTCATTCAAATGATATGATAAGTCACCGCATAAATAAAAAGAACATATGAATATAAATCTCTTTTTTTTTTTCTTTTCCTTCAAAACAAAATCGAGACAAAAAGATAAAAAGAAACAACTATAGAATCTAATCATCATTAACCCATCATGCTGATAAAATACAAAATACCCTGTGTAACTTTGTATAAGGTGCTTCATTTATTCTATCGAAGATAGACACTAACAGCGGCATACTGGTTAATTCTCTCATTGACGACAACAATGTTTGTTTCAAGCAGGTAGTTAAAGAAAACAGGGGGTCTATCTTCTTTTGAAGATCATAAATGCGTCATGATATAAGAAACGGTGCTTTTGTGTTGTTCTTAAATTAACTTTAAAATATACGATATAAACATAATGTTTCATACTGTGACTAATGTAATCAGATAGCTTGAATATAGGATGTATATGAATAACATTGAGTACCCATCATCAAACATAAACAACCCAATGAACATCACTTGAAAACAATCAATTTAATTGTTCTTTTGACTTCTAACTATCAAGAAAACTTTTTGAAGAAACTTTATAAAAAAAAAAGACAAAAAAAAAACAATCGAAAAAGAAGATTTACTTTTTTTTCTTTCAATTATAAAATAAATACATCTGCTTGATTGACTGTAACCAGAAAAAGAAATTTTGATACAATCAAATTTATGAAACATGATGCAATGTGTATGTTTGATTGAAATCTTTAGCACATGCACTTGTCATATCTGCTTACATATGTTATTGCATAAATTTAAAATTTAAACTATGGTTGATCTAATAAACACTGCAAAAAAGAAAAGAAAAAGAAAAGGCGATTCTGATCAGGTGCATCTAATCTTTAACAAGTTTTACTCATCTTCTGATGTGAATGAATCTATGTGAAATAAATAAAAGTCCAATGAAACGGAAAAGTGTCATTTTAAGTTCTGTTTTTTTCTTTCTCATAGAATCACTACACCTGTTCAATAGTTTTGTTGCTTTTGTTAAAGAATAGACAGAAAAAAGACAATTATCATTAATATCATCGATTCACTTGTCTTTTTCCTATGAAAGATAAGAACTAGCGCATATGCGATAGAAAATGTGAACATTAATCGGACTTTCTTCTGTATATGACTCTAAGGAGTCGTAAAAATGATCATTTTCCATATAGTATCTATGTCATGAATGATAATCATTCGACGAAGATGACTTTTTTTTCCGATAAGCGCTGAAAACTTATCCGACACCCTCTCTTTCATCATATATGTTGATTTGTTCTTTTACACATAGCCATATATTAATGTCTTTTGTCGATTTTTAGTCTCCTCCTCATTTTTTTTTTCTCTCTCTCTCTCGTCTTCTCCTTGTCGTGGTAAGATAGGAAAGAAGAATTCCCTAGTCTCGTTGATTTCTCCAAAGATATAAAAAAAGAGAGCGAAAGACGCCATGAAACGGCGTCTGATTGAGTGGAACAACGATCACACATCGTATTTTCTCATTCTCTCCTTATATCATCAAATACAAAAGATGATGAAACGAGCAAAAAGTTAGCTTTTGCGAGCATTATTGATGAAAAATGAGTTCATACTAAAGAAGATGTTGATCATGATCATTTTTCTTGTCACTAATCGGGGATTGGCTCATGTTCCATCGTTTTTTTTTCTCATTGGTTCTTAGTCTAGCGCAAAAAGATAGAGAAACAGGAAAGGAAAAAGAGGAAAAACACAATTTGTTTCTAGCTAGAAGAACAAAAAAAAAGGGGCGACTAGAAGAGGATTTTTTCCACATCATTTTGACCTTTTCACGCTCTCTTCTTCTCCCTCTCTCTCTCGCGTTCTCTGTTCGAAGAAAAACAGATTAATCGTTTCATTTTACAAATTCTCTCGTCTTTTCTTTTCCTTTGGTCTAGTGCACGAGGTCTCACAGGAGAACTCGTATAGAAACTCACGACTTAGCGATCCCCATTGGTACCCATAATCTCTCGGTAGGAATAAAAAGAAAAAAAGAAAAAGAGAAGCAAATGACAATACATGTCACACTAGTAAATTCTAAAACAAATTGTCCCTTACTATATTAAAAATTCTTGGCAAGTTTCATTTTCAAATAAATGAAAAGTTTAGATCTAATTTCAAAATGAAAGTGAAGTTCCCTTGAGTCAAATATATCTATATATATGGAATATTTATTTTATTTTATATATCCCTATTGGTTAAATTTTAGATTAAAATTAATTTTATTGGATATTATCACATAAGTTATATAGAAAAACATTTTTTCTTACGGTGGCGCGTCGTGACATAAATAACCGTCAAAGACGAATTGGTGCTTCAACAGGAATCGATTTTTGTTCTCAACCATCGAATCCATACGGTATGTAATTTATCTCAATGGAACAACAAAAACCAAACAAAGAACAATGGAGAGCATATATCTACATGTCTCTCTCAAGAGACATTTACCTGTGAATCTTTTCTCCTGACTATAGTCAAACTATCTTAACTATTGACGAGAAATCTAAGATTCTCTTGAGATACTTCTATTTTTTGTTTGTTCACAGATCCATTTATGCAGCCTCGTGGGGCACCATCAAGTTTTGGAGGTCTCAAAGAAGAACCATTGAGAGCTTCATGGCCAGCAATGCTTGTGGATCCAAGTTGGTATGGTTAAATTTATTTTCTGTATTCATTTAAAAAAAAGAACATTATTTTTATCCTCTGATAGTTACCTTTATCCAAGTATTGGCGTGGCTTCAGCACATTTTGAAAAACAACCACCAAATAATTTGCGTAAAAGTAATTTTTTTCATTTTACAGTGGCTCTTTATGATCGAAGTGGTAAACCAATTGAAATTGAACGTACAGCTTTTGTTGGTTTTGTTGAAAAAGAAATGGTAAGAAAAATCATTGAATTTTAATTTAAAAAGAAATGATTATGATTATCATTTCACATAAAACAGATAGAGATTGTAATCACGCGATCGGACTCTATGTCAAGATGTTCGCTCATTTTTTTAACTTATTGATAGGCTAGTCTTTTTTTGATCATTCAACATAAAACAAAAAAAGAAAATTACAGCAAATCTATATTATTATTTTTAGGAACCTGATGGTTTACGTACAAACAACGGTATTCATTATCGTCTTAGTCTTTATTATCCAGCAAGTACGGAAATAAAAAAAAAGGAAAAAAAGAACTTTTAGTTAATAAAATGATGTTTCCTTTTGTTAGTTAATTACCGACATGAACAAGACATTTATGTTCGTATGATTGATTCTGCAACAAAACAAGTATGTGATTCTTTGTTCCTCTAAATCTTTAATAAGTTTTTTTTTTAAATTAATTTTAGCCAATTGTTTATGAAGGTCAAGATAAAAATCCTGAAATGTGTCGTGTTTTATTAACACATGAAGTTATGTGTAGCCGTTGTTGTGACAAAAAATCATGTGGTAACCGTAATGAAACACCATCAGATCCAGTTGTTGTTGAACGGTAAGAGGCAAGAGTAGATACTGATTACTTTCTTATCATTAAATATAAATATTTAGAAGAAAAGGAGGAGATGTAACACAAAAGATAACATGACTTTCTCTTGATTATTTCTATAATTAAGTGTATGTTTGTATAAAAACAATAATAAAAACGTATGGTATATATTTCTCTTGTTTCTAATTGCAAATGACAATAAACGGCAGTTTGTCCCTTGAGTATTTGCCGCTGAAAATTAATTTTTTTTTGTTATTGTTACTAGGGAGTTGATTTCTCTTGTGTGACACTGATGTTTTTTTTGTATTTTTTCATCTAGGTTTTTTCTTAAATTTTTTCTGAAATGTAATCAAAATTGTTTAAAAAATGCTGGTAATCCACGTGATATGCGAAGATTTCAAGTATGATAAATAGAATCAAATAAAATAATAAAAACAAAAATTTTATTATTTTAATTAGGTTGTTTTATCAACAACAGTTGGTCTTGAACCACCATTATTGGCTGTATCAGACAATATGTTTGTTCATAATAATTCAAAACATGGAAGACGAACAAGACGACTTGATCCTATTGACGGAGGTGCGTCCGTCTCAGATTCAGATTTGGGTCAGTTTACTGAACCCTTTTCAAGATTTGAAAAAGAATTTTAAAATTTCTAAAATTTCTTTCTATGTTTCTTTTTCGTTTTTAATAGAATCACTAATTCCTACACCAGTTATAAAACATA